TGCAGGTTGTTGCTTGCAAGATGTTACACATACAACTGACTTTAAGTGTTATACAGTTGAGTTTAAGAACTATGTTGTCTGAACATGGAGCTGTAGGTAAGACGTGGCGATTTATGAAGTGCAACTTGAAACAAGCTTTAGCCTGAATTAAGGTTCTTTTTTTTTCTGAACTGGTTGCATGTGCCATCTGCTGTCCAAATTACAGAAATGCTGAATGAGTGCTTTAGTTACAGATAACATCTAATAGATCTTTCTTAATGATTTAATTATCCTAGCCTAATTACATTGTTGAAATGCAAAGCTTCTAATACTTTTTAAAGACTTTATTTTTGGATAAGGAAAAAAGTTACCTTTTCTAATGTGGCGGTTGAGTGGATCCTAAGGAAAAAATACAGATGGTGAAGTTGTCATGGGGAGAGGGGGGGGAGGAGAACTTTATGCTGCTTTTTAATGACGGAATAAAAAGATTCTAATGACTTATTGATTTTTCAGGTAATGAAGGAAGTCCAAAGTGCACTGAACACAGCAGCTGCAGATGACAGTAAACTTGTGCTGTTCAGTGCAGTCGGTAGCATTTTCTGCTGTGGTCTTGATTTTATTTATTTTATACGACGTTTAACAGATGACAGGAAAAAGGAAAGCACTAAGATGGCAGAAGCCATTAGGTATGTAAGATTATCTTCAGTCATCTGAGTGGGTATTCTTCATCATGTGGCCTGGCTTGGTTTATCTTTTTTATTTCAAAAGCCTCTAATTCAACACAATCTCACATTCACTTGTTATGTGATATAGCGTGCAGCACTTTGTGCTCCCCGTCCCTTTCTATTTGGGTTGTCATTTCATGCATCACTATTTTTACTACTAAAATTTAACTATGAAAACTGGTAGTATGGTAATACTCCTCCAGTCAAAACCAATTTTAAAAGACTTGAACAGCCCTAGGGTTTCAGGAAAACAAATTTAACACACACAAATACAAGATGTGCATTGAATGGGTAACTTAATATCGTACATTCAGAGCAGTGAAATGACGGGTACTTCAGAGGAGTAGATTGATGCTAGTGAGCATCATCCCAATGCTGGGTACCAAACCTAATGCTCCAACAAAATGTGCTGAACTACTACAAACTAGGAGAGTATATATGGGAAGAAGTATGGAACTTAGAGGCACATTTTAACAGTGCAGGCAAGTAGCTTATCACTTGAACACTCGTTTTGAGGGCCTGGGCTTTTGGCTTAGCTCCTGTATGCTTCCAGAGTATCTGTGTTCTTTCAGCCACCTATGTTCTGTTGTCGTTATCAATACTCATGTCTCTCTAAAAAGGCCTTGCAACATGTAAAGCCTGTTTCATTGGAAGCACAGTTGGCTTGTAGAGATGATAATAGTTATTTTATTTTCAAAGGCAATTTTTCAATCATTCCATGTAAGAGTTGCTCTTTAGATGTGGCCAGGGGACAGAGGCTCTTCATGCTGAACTTCTGTCACTAGCTTTATTCAGACCCTTCCAGAAGCCTGATTTTTTCACTTATTCTTCATTGTTAACAAAATGGATTAAGGCAACTTAAAACACCTATGAGCTTCCCCTTCGTATATAATAATAGTATGTTTCATATCTATATGCTAGAGATGGCTCTCTCTGGAATATTCAGCCATGATTTAAAATTATGTTAACTCTGGATGGGGTGTTTGTATGACGGCTTGCATAAGATGGTCCCAGAAATTTTTTTTGCATTCATCTATTTCAGCTCACTAGAATGAGTTAAGCAGCATGATAACCCTCAGTGATGGATGCAATATAGTAAAGATATCCTGTTTTGCAGAAATACAAACCCATGTAACTCAGATAAAGACCAAACTTTAAAATTACTGCTGAATCCCCCCTTTTAAAAAAATCTTTAATCAAAATCCCATATTTCAGCATCTGATAGGGAAGTGAGAAATCATCTGTCATTCAGAGGAAAGGAGTGCTTTACCAGTGCTGACAACTGTATGTTGTACACTGTATTCTAATCAGAATTTGTCGTGTATTCAAAGTAAATACAGACAACTTTTTCACTGTAGGTTGTAGCTATTAACTGAGAAATGTCCTCACCTCAACTTTGAGGTTTTAGAAGTCTCTGCTTGGCCTAATGTGTGTACACACACTCTTGCTTTTTCCTAAGAAGCTCTTGATGACATTCACTGTGTGAGAACAGAGAAGCGTGTAAGCATCCATGCTTTGTGGGTACTGAAATGAATTGTCATTTTGTCTTGATAACGAGGATAAGAATATGCATTTGTAACTTAAGTTGAGAAGAAAGTTTGAAGGTGTGCAATATGTGATAATGGGCCTCTACTATTTATGGCTTTTTTGTAATTTAAAAAGGCAGATTTATTTACTATCTCCCAGAAGTCCAGAAATACTCCGTAAGCAAACTCATTAATGTTTTGCCCATCTTTACTTATAGCTCTATATCTTATATCTTCACTTAAAAACAGATATTTTATACCAATGTCGTATAAGCACAGCAAAGTCCAGGCAGGGCTGTAACCATGGTTTTCGTGCCCAGAGGTAAGGGATGACCACAGCCTCATCTAAGAGAGGGCTGTGTGGCATGCGAATGTACCACAAGCACAGTGTCAGCTGGTGCTTGTAGGAGGGGTGTTAAATCCACACCTGCCCAACTACTGTGCTGCTTTGGGCTGGGAGAAGTGCTTGGCTTTCCCAGAATCGGAGAATAGTTGAGGTTGGAAGGGACCTTTGAAGGTCATCTTGTTCAGCCTGCCCCTGCTCAAGCAGGTTGCCTGGGACCACGTCCAGGCAGGGGCTTTGAATATCTCCAAGGATGGAGAGTCCATAACCTTGCCGGCTGCCTGTTCAGTCACCCCCACACTCAGAAAGTGTTTCCTGATGTTCAGAGGGAACCTCCCGTGTTTCAGTTTGTGCCCACTGCCTCTGGGCCTGTCACTGGGCACCACTGGAAAGAGCCTGGCTCCATCCTCTTTGTGCCCTCCCTCCAGATTCCCCCAAGCCTTCTCTTCTCCAAGATGAGCAGTCCCAGCTCTCTCAGCCTTTCCTCACATGAGAGACGCTCCAGTCCCTTAGTCAAGCTTGGTGGTCTTTTGCTAGACCATCTTCAGTAGCTCCACATCTCTCTTTCACTGGGAAGCCCATAACTGGACACCAGTGCTGAGCAGAGGGGAAGGATCTCCTCCCGCAGCCTGCTGGCAACACTCCTAATGCAGCCCAGAACACCGTTAGCCTCCTTTGCCACAAGGGCACGTTGCTGGCTCAGGTTCAACTTGGTGTCCACCAGAACCCCTGGGTCCTTTCCTGCCAAGCTGCTTCCCAGCGTGTATTGGTGCCTGGGGTTGTTCTTCCCCTTGTTGCTCTTCGTGAGGTTCCTGTGAGCTCGTTTCTCCAGCCTGGGGAGGTCCCTCTGTGGATGGCAGCACGACCCTCTGGTGTCTCAGCCCCATTTTGTATCATCAGCAAATTTGCTGAGGGTCCGCTCTGCCCCACCATCCAGACCACGAATTAAGCTGTTGAACCGTACTAGACCCAGCGCGGGCCCTCTGGGGCGCAACACCAATCACTAGCCACCAACTAGACTTTGTGCCACTGATCGCCACCCATTCAGATGTTTTTCAGTCCACCTCACTGTCTGCTCATCCAGCTCACACATAACGCCTTGTCTCCGAGTCTTACGGGGGACAGTGCTGAAAGCCTCGCTCTGAAGCTGAGGCAGACCACGGCCACTGCTCTCCCCTCGTCCGCCAAGCTAACCGCCTCGTCAGGGAACGCTGTCAGGCTGGTTATGAAAGTGATGCTGCCGAGGAAATGAGCTATTAACAAGTTTTCAAGGACTGGTATATTTTATTCTTTCTATATATGTAGTGAGTGCATGTTTCTGTTTCTCTTCAGGAATTTTGTGAATACTTTTATTCAGTTTAAGAAGCCTATCATTGTAGCAGTAAATGGCCCAGCCATTGGACTTGGAGCGTCTATATTGCCTCTGTGTGACGTGGTTTGGGCTAACGAGAAGGCTTGGTTTCAGACACCATACACTACTTTTGGACAAAGTCCAGATGGATGTTCATCCCTTACATTCCCCCGGATAATGGGCCTGGCTTCTGTAAGTAGCTTGCAGGGTAGGGGCTGACAGCTTTACAATGCAGCTGTGATAATTTATCTGGAGTGATTTCAAGCCTTTTCACCTTTGCTGTGTTGCATTTTTTTTATTTTTTTTCCTTTCTCTCATGAAAACCTTTCATGAGAAACCAGTATTTATAGCTTCTCTGCTCCATGCTGTTGCAACGCAGTCTTCACCTACACGCACGGGACCTAATCCCATGTCACAGGCACCCTCAACCTTGACGGTGGCCGAAGGGTTCCGATGTCCTGCATTCCAGGACACACCTTTCCTGCCTCGTGAGGACCTGCCGCCGGTGCCTGGCGGAGAGCGGCCCGGGCTGCACTCGGTGGTGTTGCATCACGGAGTGCTCGCTCACCAGCTGTGAGCAGTCCCATGCTAGCGTGCAAAATTGGTAAATCAGCTTCCATGCGCTCATTCTCAAAGTCGTGTCGAACTTCCTCACTTTGTAGACCTCCGCTGATGTTTATCACTAGTGTGTTACGCAAGAAATACTCAGGCCAAATCCCATTTATGAAGGGCTGCTTTTTTTTTTTTTTTTTTTTCCAGTCTTGCACTTGATTTAAAGTGTTGCTGGATTGAAAAATGAAAAAAAAAAAAAAGTAGCACTTTGTTGCTGAAAACATAAGCCACATGTTACTTAGTATCCCTTTTCTTGCTTTCCAATATAAATGAAAGAATCAAATGTAACAAAGCTATTTACAAATCTTTTGCCTACATTATTTTCATGTTGCTATTTTTTTTATGCTGTGTTCTTTGAAAACTTAGACCTATGTCCCATTCCAATTTGCAGTTAAATAGTAACAATATGAAACAAGCACTTGTAGCTACACTTTTTTTTTCCTAAATTACTGTTTATTATAAAAGCCAACTTTTCCCTGTAGGTATTTATTGATTTAAAAATACAGTTTTCGATATATTAAAAGCATGAACAGATCTAATGACTAATTGTGTGACTTCTGGATTTAGTTATTAGAAGAGAACAGAAAAGGTAACTGAAATATATTAACAGTTAAAAGAGTATCTTTAATATCTTAGCATGTTTCAAACTACTGATTGTTCCTTTCCCTGTTTATTTGGCCATTCATCCATCCATTCATCCATCCATTCCATCCATCCCCGTCCTTTAGAGACTTGTGGTTGTTACTTTTCATTTCTTTAGAAGTTGTACAAAATACACAAGAAGCTCTTCCCTAGTATCCTCTTTCATGTGTGTTTGTGAATGGTCTCATTTTTTAATATAAAAATTTAAATTGAAAGCATCTAGAGATAACAATTCCATAAAATTCAGTGCACAAGAGAGCAAAAACCCCAACAACTCCACTGTTTTCATACTATCCTCAACCCTCTGCAGTATAGCAATGTTAATGCTGTATGGAACAAAGTTGGACTTTAACCAGCAGATTCCATTAAATATATTCAGAAATTACACCAAAAATTTTGATAGGGTAGCATGGTTTCTGCCTATAAAAGAGAGAAAGAAGTCAGCAGAAAGAAAAGATGGTGAGATGAGAAACATTCAGGGGGGAAAAATTAAAATATTATACACAAGAAAGAATTACGGTGTCTGTATGCATGGTAAAATTTGCTACAAATTTATTGATTCAGCAGTATTAGACCCACCCATATCTCCTGTAAGTCAGATTCAGCGCATTCTTTTTATTATCAGCCATTATGCAAAAATCTTCAAGTGCAAGACTGTTGGAAATACCTTCCCTCCTGGGTCACTCTTGGCTGGTGAGCAGGTCTGTCACGGTGGGATTTTTTTCACAGAACGTGTTCCACAGAGTTAATTCAGGAAACGTGAAGCCCAGACCTTAGGATTCAAACCTGATACTTTATTGGAAAGAACAAGAATTTCAGAAGGATTCAAAAAGTTGGGTTTTGAGTTTTGAAGATAATCTGTGATAGAGATTAAGGTGGCTTCGGTTTGGGGAGGTATGTTGTTACTGTGTGTCTGCCGGGGAGTGCTTGGTCTGGTTTTCTGGTCCTGGGTGCAACGCCCGGGAGCCGCCTGATCACCTTCACCCCCGAGGTTCCCCTCTCAGGCTCCAGCACCCTCGGCAGTATTTCTTACGCTTCTCTGCCGGCGGTGAGGGATTCCCATTTCCATAGTGCCTGTCGTCCCCGCCCAGCACAGAAGGCAGCTGCCTCCTGGTCCCAGGGCAGAAGAGCTGAGGGGCTCCACGGCTGCCAACGCCGGGGGGCTGGCACGGAAGGTGCCCCTGAGCCTCGAAGGACTCGCTGTAAAGGAGCGACCAGAGCGTGTCCCAGGGGCCTTCCTCGGTGGAAGGAGAAACACCAAGTAGAAAATGGGAGTTGTTGATGAGACTCTTATAGTAATGAAATATTTTTATCATCTTCTTTTCTATTGCTGTACTACACTTCTTGGAAAGTAACCACCAAGTGTGTTAATTTTCGCAGCAGATACAAGGCACGATTAGATGATTAAAACTTGTTCAGTAGCGGGTCTCTGGCACGAGTTGTGTATAGATCAAAACTGAGGATGCCAGAGCAAAACGTTTCCCTTCAAAACCTGTCAGCTGAGAACACTAATGGGAGCACCCATCTCATGTGAGGTTTTCTGCTAATGCTGTGTTACAGCTGGCAGAAATAAGATAACCGCACTGTTATCATTTGTGGGTTTTCACGTTCAGGAGAACTCAGCACTGCTGCTGAGTTTCAGAAAAAAAAAAAATTATGAAGGTTTTCTAGCATTCATTTTTATCCTGGTCACCAAAGGTATGCATACGAAGAATATGTAGACCTGACCAGCTGACCTAAATTTCTGACCTTCCTAACTCCCAGTTAGATTGACCTCATGTTTTGTTCTTTGATATAAATGTTAAGTATCTTTAAAAATTATTTTGGAAGAATTTTTTTTTTTCCATATCTCCTTAAGAAAATAATTTCTGTTTTTACAAACTTGTGTATATGAACTGGTTTTTGGCTAGCGTTTCAGGTCAGTATTATTCACATATAATCTGGAAAATTAGAAGGTAGAGCTGTGATAGTTAATGAATCTTGTATATTTGATTTTGCTTTCACAGAAGGTAGAATTACAGGGGTATATCACCTATACCTTTAGTTTGAGGCTTGGTTTTTTTAAACTTAATATTTGTGAATCACAACTTTCCATATTCACTTATGAGAGATGGGCTGATGATAAACTTAATGTAAAAGATCCTAGGAACCATCTCCCTCTCTGCATGCCAAAGGGAGTGGGAGTCAGCAACCAAACCACCAGGAGAACCCAGACTTCGTATTTCATTACAAAGAGTAACAGGCATCTGAGCTTTCAAACTTCTTCTTGTGTAAAACGGCAATACTAGAAACATTACCTATAGTAACTACGTAACTTGAGACCCTTAACTGAAAGATGCTGTAATAATTACCAAAATTTCCAGTGTTAGAAAACATTAAAAATCTCACAGTTTTGTCCTCAGAAATGTTACACCAGTCAGGTTTGGGTGTTTTATAGTGCTGTATTGCCCACATTTCAAGAGTCCAGCGATCACTTTGTCATATTTTCAATGTAAATTAGTCATTAAGAAACAGTAAAACTGTTGGCTGTTTTGAGGTTGACAACTACTCCAACTTTTTAATTTTCACTGGCTGTTTCTGTGCAGATGTTGCTGCAAACAAAGTTTGACTATATAAGAAATGTCACTAAAGGCAGAATTAAAGTATAAGCATAAATGGTTGTAGGATGAAGCTTTAATAGGGATGTGGATAAATAGTGAAGTGTATGATAATTACAAATTAAAAAGACTTACAGAACTAGAAATCACATTATTGCATAGAATGTAGTACTCTGTTCTGTATCTTTAAACTATGTACAAGATCTTTTAAATACTGGGCTTTTTTAAATAAGACTGCTAAATCAGCTTTTGAAAGGAGTTATCAGTTCAATATTGAACTTTTGAATAAAACAGAAATGTCTATTTTCCATGAATTTGATCACAAATTGGAATATATCCTGTTAACTTTGGGGTTTGGAAGTCAAATTCTAAGATGATCCGGGTATTTTATCTGTTGCATCATAAACGAAATACTGCTGAAGGCTTTTCAGAAGTGCTGAAAATAAACCATATCCTTAGGTTTCAAATATTTTCAGTACAAAAAAACCCCCTTCAACTGCAAAATACTTAACTTTCTACCAAGACTAGCAGTTCCCTCCTAGGAGGTCTACTACCAAAATGATGCCGTTCTTCATAGTTTACAGACAATGAAGCTTTTTAGCAAAGATTTCATGGCTTCAAATGACATTAATATAGAGGGCAAGCTGATGTATTTGTTGCTGTTTTACAGATCTGCCAGGAATTGTAGCCTATTACCACATAGACAGTTAATCAAGTCAGCAATGCTGCAGGAAAGCTAGAGCTAATGAACATCCAACAAAAGACATTTTCATGTTTAACCCTTAATCACAGACCTCCGTATTTTCCTAACTGCTGACATAGTATAGTCAACACCACCGACCTGCTATCTGTAGGCAAGTCTTTTTCTTTATTAATTAAAAGTTGGAAGAGCTACCATAAAACTATTTCAAATAGTGCAGGCATTTTCCTTATTTGTTTTGAACATTTTTCCTTTAACGAGTTTTGTCTCATTACATTTCATACCAGAAGTAACTTTTTATCCCTTCAGGCCAATGAAATGTTGTTCAGTGGAAGGAAGTTGACTGCGCAGGAAGCTTGTGCCAAAGGACTCGTCTCTCAAGTGTTTTGGCCGGGAACATTCACACAAGAAGTAATGGTTCGAATTAAGGAACTTGTCACATGTAATTCAGTCGTAAGTTTCCTTTATTTTCTTACAGTTATGACTACTAAGAGTTGATCTAAGTATTACTGGACTACATCATTATGTCCTCCTAAAACAAGACCATTTTCATGAAACAAGGACTTCATTTTAATGTAGCCATGTCTTTTCAAACATTCTTATGTATCTTTGTTTCTGGGTTTTTGAGGATGGTGTTTTTAAGTTTATATCTGAGTCTTCTTTATCATATGCCATAGTATGTTGTGGTTAAGAACATTAAAACAGCATTGGCCTCCACAGTATAGTTTGGTTTTAGCATAGCCACATAAGTCCAACTTCTAGTGTCAACGGTGTAAACAGCTGCCCTAACAACTGCATAGAAACACAGAAATCTTGAGTTGTAATTTAAATTTCCAACAAAGTAAATGCGGTCTTTCATGTTATGTCGAACTTAAGAGTTTTATGAGTAACTCGTAGTGCATTTGTGGTTGTGTGCACTACTGGCAGTAGTTGCACAAGATAGCTAAAACTACTATTACTTTCTTATGAGAGGAGATGCAGTACAAATTAACTGGTCTATGCATTAGAAATTTTGGATTTTGAAACAGATTAGTAGTTTTCTAAACATGATTTTCCATTTATTTTAAATGCTCAAGAGATTCAATGTCTGCCTGGTTATTAGAGAAGATCTGGACAACAGTGTTACAATTAGCCTTCACCAAAATGGAGTTGGAGTCTTCTCTAGTTATCAGTATAGAACTGTATGTATATATTAATAGTTACGATAAACTGATAAGCTCGAGTTCGTAATCAGCTTCAGGGTGTGTCCATATAAACATGTAAGCACACACGGTGCTCAGTTCTCATGTAAGACTAACCCAACCCACTTTTTTTGCCTAGGTACTTGAAGAATCCAAAGCTTTAGTACGTAACATCATGAAAGTGGACTTGGAACAAGCAAATGAAAAGGAGTGTGAAGTTTTGAAGAAGATCTGGGGCTCAGCACAAGGGATGGACTCAATGTTAAAATACCTGCAGAAGAAAATTGATGAGTTCTGATGAGATGCCCATTGACACTGGAATTGTATTTCTCGGACAGCAGGGCAAACAAAATATGCCCATTTAAATAAACCTATATAAACTCACCCCTTGCTCAGCTTGGGAACAGGAGTGGGCCCCTCCCCTTTTATTGACAAGGGGTTTAAAAGTACTGTATCACTTAAATTTGAACAAAACTCCTTTCTCCCTGATTGTTACATATAGATATATATACACACACATAAGTGTATGTGTGTGCATATATATGTCTTTTTATATATATATATATATATATATAAAAAATGTAATATGTGTGTGAGAGTGTGTATGTAGACACACACACACAAGCTAAAAAAATATGATAGAGTGCACTACCAAACATCTCTTTAAAGGCTCTAGTTTTTGTTATCTTTGGCTAGTACTGTATCAAATAGAGAATGGACTAAAAAGTGAATGGTGTTGCATTATTTTCTGTGTGGCAGGGAAGTCTGGAATAATGCTTTTCTTTTTCATTAGAATACAGAATTGAAACGGGTATTAGCCAGCCCTTACTTTCACTGCCCAAGGAGTCAGCGAAGATACAAGGCATTGTCTCAGAAGGTTGAAATACCTCAAGTAATGGAACATTCTAAAATTTTTGGTAACTAAACCCTAGTAAGATTAAATCAAATATCCCCCAAAAGAGAGTGTGCTCAGGATTAATGCTAAGAAAACACTCTGTCCATTTCTGGGGGGAGGTATAGAGGGGGGTGGGAGGAATGGGGCAGGAATATGTTTAATTCTTACCCAGATAGCATGAAGAAACCACTGTCTCTTGGGGAAGGGGAATGAGGGGAAGTGGGAGGGAAATGGAAGGGGGACAGAAGGAAGAAAGAAAGAAAGAAAGAAAGAAAGAAAGACAGAAAGAAAAGAAAAGAAAAAAAGGAAAAAAAAAAAAAAAGCTTGTTTTGCAGTATTAGTGAATCACTGAATATCTTATGTATGAATATCCTAAGTTATAAGTTAGTTTTAGTGGGTTTTTAAATAGTCTCTCTGGGTTTGTTTTTTTTTTTTTTTTAATAACTACATAAGTGCTTCTGTTGGTGGGTGAGAATACTACTTTATATACAGTTTGGGTTTTGGTTCTTTTTTTTCCTATTTGCTGGTTTAATTGATGTATTACACCAAAAATGCATTTTATGTTCATAAATTTTAGGTTCACTTAGAATATATTATTTAATAAGTTAAAATCCTTTTGGCACACTATTAAGTAAAAAAAAAAAACTCCTTTTTAAAAAAAAAAAAACTACCTTATATTAGATGTTTAATGTTCTTTGTCTATGCTTTTTTATTATTTTAAATATACACTATATACAGTATGGTGTAAAAGAGTGCCCTGTGTAAATAGACCTATTTTGCATTCCTTTCAGGAGTGGTTATTGATTCCTGACTACAGATATCTATTATTACTTGGGTATCTGTGCTTGCAATCTTATTGAATGTATTATGAAGAATGAAAAAGAAATCAAACCTTATTTTTGTACAGTTTTGAAGTTTTTACTTGGAACTGACCCCACCTCCCCTTCCCAGTGGAGAGCTGTACAGTGTGTAAATCTGCCTTTACCTTGGATTGGTACAGTATTTTTGCATCTGTGGGACCTACTTTTTTGTTCTAGTAGTTTGAACTTATATATAAACTGTACAATCTGTAAAGTTTTTATAGAATAAATATTCAGCTGTGAAAACTGGTTAAATAAAACTAATATTTCTTAACACATTTTAAAGGTGTTTCCCATGTAGTTGTCTTTTTCAAAGACATTTCAGTTCTGATTTTAAAGAAAGAGTTGCCTAAACAAATCTTGAAAATTAAAGACTTCGGTATTCAAGTTTCTTCTTAAGAGCTTATATAAGCTTTTATTTCCTTCAAATTAAAAGTTGAAAATTAATTTATTGTTAGAAACTGTATAGAAATTTTCTCTTAGGGGAGGTGGACAGGGGAAGAAGACATAGAAAGTCATTCTACTCTTAATTATTTTGTTACAGTTCTGAAAGAATATTCCAGTAAATGGTTCTTTTCAATCACTTAAAAATGGGTCATTTTCCCTCCAGTGCAGTGGTAAAGTGAGAATTCCTTAGCTGATTTTGATTTTATTGGAACGGAAAAGGAAAGATACCTTACCTGCAGTGCTCTGATGTTAAACCTTTTGGAGTGTGACTCATTCATATAAAGATCCCTTTTCTAGCATCTCTAAGAAGCATTTGGGCATAGATTGCATCTATTTCAGCTGGAGGATTACTTATGCTTTCCTTAAAGAACTTCACTGTACCAGAGGACTGAATCTAGAGATCCTAGGATCTAGAAGAACGAAATCAGTTGAAGGTGCAGGCAATTCAACCGGAAAAAAAATTCTACTAGCTTCATTTTTTGTTCTGCCTACAATTTGCATATTAAGATATGAATAAGTTGGTGACCATGTAAATTCTTGTCTTGACTGGAAAAACTCCTCAGACCAATTCATATCCACTGTCACTGTGCAACTGCCCTACCTTTATATTAAAAGCAATAACTAACATTACACTATTAACAAATTATGCTGTCATTCAGAAACAACATACACATTTTGTCTATATACTGGACTACAGGGATACTGTTTCTTTAGGAAAATACTATCCTGCTCTTTTCAATATAGGTTAGTAAATATCCTTTGCCATGTGTGAAAATCACAGTTCCGTCTAGTTTAGTCTTAGCAAAACCATAATAGAACAAAGACAGAAAAATTATAGACTTCTACTAGCAAGCAAGAAGGCCTGAGAGATCATAAATGCTGACTTAAGACATTTTAAAAGTAGTGTTTTCAAGGCTGCTTCTTCACAGAAGACAGTTTTTGTCTAGCCTGGTTCACTGCTGACTCTTGTATTGTTCTACATAAATTTGCAGTGCTGCACAGATAAACTAACCCACAGCATCTGCTTTAGCCTCTGCTGACTGAAGGCAACTGTAGCCACAAAGGTTTGGCTGGGCCCCAGGAGAAGCCTGGGGACACTGCTGAAGCCAGCACGACTTCTAAGGCACCTCAGTTGGAGCAGCAGCCTCACAGAAGCAGTTGGTACTTTAAAATTGGTTTTCTACATTGATTCTAGTACTGATGTGCCTGACAGAACTTTTATATAGCTTTTTTTTTTTTTTTTTTAACAAGGAAGATATTTTCATCATTTTTCTTCCTTCAGGCATGGAAGCAAATCACAACACACGTTTGGGCATCAGAAGTCTAGTCAGTGGCTAGCAGAATTAGGGATAATGGTACTGGAATATAAAATTCAGCTAGCTTTAGCCTTGATCAGTCCTGGCCCCCAGGGCTCCTGTCAAGACTGACTGCTATCTTGATTGCATCAATCTGCTTAATTCCTTACGGAACATAGAGACACACTGAAAGGCAACAGTCAGTGCTGGTGCCAAAACTTAAACGTAGCCCAAGAGCCTTGATAATGCAGTGCAGGAATTTCTCTATGACATCTAGTTCTCACTCTGAAATAGGTCACACCTCCTGCACTAGCACACGGCACTGACGAGCAGTGGCAACCAGACTGCACTGAGGCTATAGAGTACTCTTTCCCCACAAAAATTCCATCACATTCAAGTTTATTTTTGGAAGCAAATAAGAGAACTTTTCTCCTGGTCAGGAAACAGTGCCAGAGCACCACGGGCTGAATGCACATGCAGGTGTTTGAAAGCCTCTTGTGTATGCTGAATGACACCCTCCTGTTAGGTTAGTCTGAGCAAAAATAAAAAGCAGCAAAAGTTTTTAGCTCTGGGTAATCTAACCTACAACAAAAGGTATTTTGAGGTAATTTGAAGATCTGAGCTCACCTGTAGGTATTTTCCTTGTTCAAACTTCCTAATTTGCATGAATCCAGGATTTGAAGCAGTTTCCTTCAGCAAGTCCTTCACTGGATTGCTGATGTTGCTAAAAGACACTCCTTTGTGCTTCAGAAGCTGCACCATTATCATTCTGAAAACAAGGTTCAGGGGAATTAAATGATTGTTTTAGGTGAGATTTATTTCTTAAAGTCAGGCATACTTTAAAAGAACAGAAAAACACAATGCTGAGCTATCGACCGCTTAACTTTACACTCATATTTCATATTTTATGCAAACACTGGATAAAATAGGACTGCAGACATTTAGGGAATGAGGCAGCAAACAAAACCTTTCTTGCCAAGTGGACAGGAGAGAGTTTCTTCAATAAATGGAGCCTATATTCTACCTTGGTTTGTTGGTGGAAGTTGATCCACTTCACGTGCATCTGGGACATGACAAGTATGCTTCTGGAGAAAGTAGGAGGGAGGAGATACCTCAACTCAGTTACTGTTTGCCATATGATTTTCCATCCTAAGGAACTGCCAGCAGCTGTCAACACACAGGCTGTCTTACAGAGCTGTAGCAGAGGCTGAGTTGGCAGCCTTAAGTCACGCAGCATGGGAGCTCAGTTATACTGAAGATGGCACACAGGTGAATTTTTCCTTCCTAGGGAAGAAGTCTCAGGAGAGCCTCTGTATAGCACAAGCTCACCGTGGCCCTGTTCTGTACAGCCCCTGAAATTTCTCAAGAAAATACTTCACTCATGGCTCTCTGCATTTTTTTTCTCATACTCATAAGGGACATGACCGGCAGATTAAGTCATGCACCAGACTTAATAGCAATCAAAAAACCAAATAGAATTACCTCATGAGGTACTTGCAGGATGAAGAGTAGTATGATGTGCAAAGATTTTGAAGTGCAATACAAAACGAGAAGGTGGCAATGGAGTTCTTTTGGTCCTCTTTATCCCTCCTGCACAGGGAAAAACACAAGTGAGAGGAGTTAGAAACCACCAAGGAACAGCCGGTAAGAAGTCAAAGGAGCTGAAGGAGGAAGTAAAGAAATGGTAGTTATTCTCTCTCAAGTCCTCATTCTTATCATCCTCCGTGCTGGAAGATACAATTGACAAGAGCACCAGGCGGACATCTACCTGTCCCATACAGCAGCGTGGAGCACATTATCAATACTTATGCCTAAACTCAGGCAGACTACGAGCCTCACATTCACAGGCCCTGGTCCTCGTGGGGGACTTCAACCACCCTGATATCTCCCGGAAGGACAACAGACAAGAGAAGGCTCAGGGGATCTCATCAATGTGCATAAGTACCTGGAGGGAGGGCGGGCGCAAAGAGGATGGAGCCAGGCTCTTCCCAGTGGTGCCCAGTGACAGGCCCAGAGGCAGTGGGCACAAACTGAAACACGAGAGGTTCCCTCTGAACATCAGGAAACACTTTCTGACTGTGAGAGTGACCGAGCACTGGCACAGGTTGCCCAGGGAGGTGGTGGAGTCTCCATCCTTGGAGATATTAAAAAGCTGTCCACACACAGTCCTGGGCAACCAGCTCCTGGTGGCCCTGCCTGAGTGGGGGTGGGTGGGACCAGATGATCTCCAGGGGTCCCTTCCAACCTCTACTATTCTGTGAAAAAACCCACTTGCCTTCATTTTCCAACTATCCAGTCATCATCCACCAAACATCCTATATGGCTAGTACTGCAGGCTCAGCAGGCCCTGCCACACTACATGCTTTAGTTTTTGAGAACCCAACATCTCATGCTGCATGACGCCAAATCACCCAGAAGAGAGATAGGTACAGACCAATTTCCATGTTTCAGGTAGGACAGGGATCATCTTTTACCCTGTCTGTTGAGAAGCATAAAGAAAAAGTTATTTGTTCTAAGAAAAAGAATGTATTTGTTTCTTCAAGGATAAACAGGATTGCAATACTTAAAGGAAAACAAATACATGCCTTTTACAGCACCTGAAACATAGCTTTGGCCTCAGCAGCTCCTTGAAATTTTGCATTTTTTTCCAAGATCTGCCTCTATCAATCAAGCTGAACAGTAATCCTGTCACTGGGGTCACACTGATATGTAACCACTTGAGCCACTTAAGAAGATACCTTTAAGTCCAATGTAACAACACATCTTTACCATGTCCTGTGGATGTAACTTCTTAAACAGACACTATAGAGCAACTATGTAACTCTGCAGGGTGAGAAGTTAACTCATAATGTGGTAAAAACCCCCAGTATGTCCTAGATACTGCTTTCCAAGACTCATTCATCGTAACCCTTTACTTCCATATCCAGCAAAATGTTCTGATTGCTAGACAAAACCTAGAATATAAACAATCTTCCAAGTCCTGCTCGTCTGCCCTGCCTCCACCTTATTAATTAATTTTCATAAAATTCATTGTACCATCTGCCTCAGTTGGAAAAGGCACTCACAGAGGCCACCCTCAAAGTCACCCCAGTCAGGTGCTGGGCAAACCGGCTGCTGCCACAAGCAATTTTTGTGAAACGCAGATGCTGCTCCTTACAAATATAATGGGTTTGGAATTCACTGAGCTTGTCAAGTTGGACTGGGATCTTTAATGAAACTGTATTATTAAAAAACCCAAACCTAAACAAACCTAAAACCACCTGCTAAGCCAGGAATAACCGAGAGACACACTTCCACAGAAATCATGCTTGCACTACATGATGTAAAGTAAAAACACCAAAATAACAGTTTTCATTCCATATTCAAATGTCAAAAGACAGACACATACCCATATTTCTTCCCTTTCTTCTCTCTACCATGTGCCTCCCCTGGGCTTTACACTCAGAAAGAGTGGTGGGGATTTAAGCTGGAAACCTGATAAACCCTGAATTTACATGCTGGAAGAATTATTTTGTATGCTAAGTAACAGTTAACAAAATTAAAACAATGCAAAGCTGGGATTTTTTAAACTGGATGACCCCTTGAATCAAGGGGATCAAAGAAAGCAAAGGGAAGACACCTTGTCCATTACAAGTTTTTCTGCTTGCTTCTTGGTAGGCTTCTCAAGGCCAATCATGTCAAAATAGGAGTGTGGAAACTTAACTTCGTGATCTCAAGAACTGGGCTGAAACAGTCACAGAAGTATTTCTGAAGCCAGCATTACATTGTGCCTAGGAATAACTGAAGTCACACTTTCTTTTTGAATGTTTCTGAAGGAATTACATGTTCATTGACGCTGACAGAAACTTGTGTTCTGGATAGAAATGAAACAAGTCCGTGCATCCAAGGGAAGAGAAAAAAAAAAGTCAGGTCCTGACATCTATTTTCTTGAAGCAAAATAAACCACCACAGCCAGTCTGACAGAAAAAACAGGGGCAACAACTCCACAATCTTTTCAACATTTTGGACAATCTATTTCAGCTCATGAGAACAGATTTATTTTCCCCTAGAATCCTAAGCATCTTAAGTTATTGACAGTAGTCTGCAGGGCAGCAGCATTATTTCTAATTCCTTCAACAGAAGATCTTTGCAAATTGCTAGTCCTAATGATGTAATGTCAGAAATTTGGAGACCTTACACAACCCAGCCCTGAAGTACAATAAACACTTACAAAATAATCCAGATCCCCTATGCTTCTGAAAGTCCTGGCACAAGAAGACAGGCTATTGCACTTAATCCTTAAAAAGATGCAGCCCCAAGGTTGCCCTACAATGGATACCCCCAGCATCACTACCAACCATTCAGAAAAGGGCAACAATAGTTTTTCACATTCACTCAATTCTTCTATATTCTGCTACAGATTTAGATATTGTAGCTCAGCAAACAGATTTTTCACAGACATTAAACAGTTTACACATAATTGCTTCAAAACATAGTTTTCTATGAAAACAAAAAAAAAAAGTGGTAAGCACACAAGAATGCTATTAATGAGATAGCTCAAAACCTGAAAATACGTGAACAGTTTCCAGAAAGCTGTGGTTAGCTTGTATTAAAATGCCATTCAGTTCCCTCACTGCACTTCCTCATAGCAGGATAGGTCCACCCAATGATCACGTACTAGCAATGCTTTGGGAGCAAAACTTGCTGAATAAGAGATGTGGTACATCTGCCTCTAGACAGTTCTTGACACAGAGACATTAAAACTGCAATTTTGCCACTGAACCGGTTATCACCCATTCTCAGCATGTCACATAAGATCTCTCTTTTTACATTCCCCCACTGGTAAATTGGTTTTGATTTCAAAACCAAATAAGCAAGTAATACAGCATTCTGTAACGCTAATATATATAAAATAATTAAACAAATAAACCATATAAAAATTGTCCTGAAGTTCCTGAGAGAGGTTGGTTGGCTGAAAATAAATGTAATTTTGCCAGCATCTAGAAAAAGACACGCACAGGGTCCCTGACTTTACATTTAGAGACTTCAGAAATCCTTAGCAGAGTTTTGTACCCCACGAAGTCAGTTTGAACACAAGAAATTCCATGATGGAAAACTTCTGGCCAGCAATCCACAATAACCTGACACACTATCATTATTTCCCTGTCTCTGATGTTCCTAGTGCTCCTCTAAGTTCATCTGATGAAGAGCAACTGTAACCTGAGAAGAGCTCCAGCACTAACAGCAAGGACTCATGGCACGTTCCCCAGAAACGTGTTATCACCGAAGACAGAGCAGCCCAGCAGTACAAGGCACAAGCACGATAAGCGCTGAATTTTCTCTCTCAGAACACTGCCTCATCACAAACTGAAACGACTTGCAGGGACAAAGGAGAATCAGAGCATCCCACCCAGAATCTACAGAAAACAAACGACAGGCACAGCTCCTCGCAAGGATGACAGCTGAGTTTAAGGCTTTTCTACATCTGTTTTTCCTATTGGGCACAACAGGAGCTCTGTTCCAAGAGCTGCACGAAAGTGTGCATGCGCCCTGCCTGGACCGCTGCCCTACCTGACCCTGAAAATCTCTGATGAAAAAACAGCAGCGTACAACATTGCTAAGAGTGCAGACTTGCCCCCTTTCCCCATCAGATCAACGCACTATCACCACCTCGCAGGCTTTCTCACAAGGGAAGCTGCGATCCCAGCTCACTCCAGCAATGTGAAACTGCGCCTGCCAGCATGGTCTCCCCAATAACTAAAGCCATCCGCGTCTACGTCTAGCCAGCGCAGCAGGCAGGGAAGAGTTGGAAAGGAGTTATCTAGGAGCCCGACAGAAGCAGTGGCTTGTCCCTCCCGGAGACTGTGAAGCCAGAGGCAACATCTCAGTAAACACTGTGTTACCCGAGAGCCTTCAGACCACAGGTACCTTGCAGTGTTTGCAGTCCAAAAGCTGCTGGGTGGCCAGCACCTGGAGCCAGTTCTTTCTTTTTGATTTGTGTTTTGTGGAGGAGCACCTCAGTACTTCAGAAGCATTCACCAACCAATTGCTGGCAACTACAGCAAAAATGGTGTGGCCATAAATAAGGAATGATGCAAATGCCAAAGCCTCTCGGACTTCAGATTAGACACATATTTAGAAATTCTGTGTTAAAACACAGAATTAAAAAACGCTGAACACTGTTGGTCTCCTGGCAGCAAGACCTGGTTTTGTTCGTTGGGAACAGCAGGGATTTGATCACAGAATCACAGAATGGTTTCTGTTGGAAGGGACCTTGAAGATAATCTAGTCCCCACCCCCCTGCCACGGGCAGGGACACCTTCCCCCAGCCCAGGGTGCTCCCAGCCCCGTCCAACCTGGCCCTGAACCCTTCCAGGGAGGGGGCAGCCACAGCTGCTCTGGGCACCCTGGGCCAGGGCCTCACCACCCTCAGAGGGAAGGATTTCTGCCTTTTATCTAGTCTAAATCTACCCTCTTTCAATTTAAAACCGTTACCTCTCATCCTATCACTACACTCCCTGATAGAGTCCCTCCCCACCTTTCCTGCACCCCCTTTAAGCCCTGGGAGGCCGCTCTAAAGTCTCCCCAGAGCCTTCTCTTCTCCAGGCTGAACACCCCCAACTCTCTCAGCCTGGTCTCCCAGGGGAGCTGCTTCAGCCCCCTGAGCATCTTTGTGGCCTCCTCTGGCCCCGCTCGAGCAGGTCCATGTCCTTCTGGGGTTGGGGGCCCCAGAGCTGAACACAGGACTCCAGGTGGGGTCTCATGAGAATGGAGCAGAGGGGGAGAATCCCCTCCCTCGCCCTGCTGGCCACACTGCTCTCGATGCAGCCCAGGACACAGTTGGCTTTCTGGGCTGTGAGCGCACATTGCTGGGTTGTGGTCACTTTTCCACCCACCAACACCCCAAGTCCTTCTCTGCAGGGCTGCTCTCAATCCACTCATTGCCCACAGCCTGTGTTTGTGCTTGGGATTGCCCCGACCCATGTGCAGGACCTTGTTGAACTTGAGGTTTTCCCACGCCCACCTCTCCAGTCTGACCAGTTCCCTCGGGATGGCATCCCTTCCCTCCAGCGGGTCGACCGCACCACACTGCTTGGTGTCATTGGCAAACTTGCTGAGGGTGTGCTCAGTCTCACTGTCTGTGTCACCAACAAAGATGTTACAGAGATCCTGAGGAGCAACACTCTTGCTTGTTGCTGCCTCTGGAAGGATCACGTTTGTCAGAGAGCCTCTGTGTCTCTGTGGGAACCCCTAAGGGTAAAATTAGGGTCTCCTCAGAACTGACAGAAAAATTTAAGACTTCCTTGAAAAAGAAAAGAAGCAAGGCAGAAGAAATCTGAGGGAAGAAGTGGAACTATTCCTAACAATCATGATAATTGCAGTTTTGTAAGTTAGGCTGGCTAGGTGCCCAGAATGGGTAAACAACCCTAAACCAGTTTAACTGACAAGCATATTGCAGTGTACACAGCCTCAGAGCAAAGCAAAATAACCTCCAACTTCTCAAAAATCTTAGCTACAGATTTTCCCCAATCCCTACTTTTATTTGTGTAAATAAACAAACCTATGATCTAAGATATGGTAAAGTTTGATATTTCTGACAGTAACCATAAGGTTTCGACACATAGCTGTCAGGAAAAGCATGTGAGAAATACATACTGATTAGATCTACATTTTAAAAATCCCTTATTTAAAATATATTTACGATACATAAATGCACACAATGCATAATGTGCAGTCTTCACATGTATAGCCTGCATGGAAAACTTCTGCAATAAGCTTACAAGGTTTTGCCCATCATAAGAGGTTTAACCACATTTTTTCAGTAACTTTTCTTCTTTTTTTTTTTTTTTTTTAAACATATGTTTTACTAAAAAGTCACCCAATTACCTTTGTATCAAGACAACTTTAAATTCAATGCTATCCCCTGTCACACTGACCTACTTTTGTTCTGGTAGAATTTCTGAATTCAGCACTTATGAAGATCAGAAGTGTTCATAAAACTATGAAACAGGGCCTGCTGGCATGGCTTCAGGAGCTTCACTTTGAAGAATCTTGGTCTGAGATTACATAGGATGGGGAAACTTGAACAAGCAATTCTATGAACTCTGGAGGTAAGTATCAGGCACCCTCTTTGATGTCTTCTGTTATAAACAAAAAGATTACTTTTTTTTTTTAACAGAAGATGGAACAGTGAAATGATTTTGTACTGTTATTTGACCTGCGCAGGCTTTTCCTGCCTAGAAAGGGCTCATCTAAATAGCAGTTTTCTTTCTTCAGCAGGGACTATGCATCCCCTGAGCAAATCGTATGGAAATACAAAGTTATAAAAAACGTCCCTCAGCTTTAGTAAGGGGCAGGAGGCACATGAAGCAGGAGCCCCTCAAAGGCTGTGCTCTATACCCTTCTCTGCCGGTCAGTACTGTATCCATCTGCATATTTAACGCCCTTCGCCCCTCTCTGCTGCGTTGTCTTTGTCCAGCTGCAATCTTGAAGCAGAACTTTACTGACACTTCTAATAGCTTTTTGACAAGGACATGTAAAATTATTCACCATCTGAAAAGGTCAGCACTATCTGTAAAAGGAGCACAGGGCTGCTGGAGGATGCCTGGCACCCTTCTAGTTGGACCCACCCGGAGCTGCTACTATAAAGCATTAAAGATCCTATGGAATTTAGGCTCCCAATCTCCCATTCACACACACATGAAGTAGGCCACGAGTATGGTTGGCTGCAATCTGCCCAAAATGATATTTACTACCTAATTTTACTAAATTAATCTTTCCTATTGATCATTAATCAGGAGAGATTAAGCAGTCCCTTGGGATCCAGTTCTGTTTCTCTTCAGGCCTTTTTAATTCACTAGGTTCTCAGCCCTTGATGCCAGCTCCCAGACGCTCAGAATCATATAAATCACTGTTACCTAATCTGCATCTTTTCTAATAAAAAGAAAGCCTATGTCAGTACTACCTCTTTGAAGCCCCATAGAGCTGCATCCAATTCATACCAGAGTACAAAAACGACTGGAGCACAGCAATCTTCTGGTCGCCTTCATTCAGACCCTTTAGGCTCTTTTGCTGTTATCCATCTTTCCCACAAATCCAACTTGATGCCTACTAACAGAATGCACAGCATGCTGGCTCGAGACTCCCTGTTTATGCTACTCTTGACACTTCTCTCTTCCCTGCCCCCTACCATCTCAGTGCTTTATTTATTCTTCTGACTTGTGCCAAACACTGAAGTCATAGTCTGAGTTTTCAGTTTACTCACATCCCTAGCTCTTTTTCTTATTCTATAGCTGCCTTATCCCTTTCCTCATAAACATTATCAGGTCGGAATAACTCCTTCTTTGTCATACCTGCCATGTATTTACATAATGGACAACTGGAGTTTATTTTCCCTTTCCCCGCCTCTCGCTAAAACCTGGCAGCTCACAATGCTCAGTCCTTGTGCATTTGCACATTGTCTGGGGTAACGTGGACCTCACAGTGACACAGGGGTTAAGAAATATGAAGCTTATTTTGGCTCTGTTGTGATTCCGACTCCTAGCAGCCAACTTGCCTCTTTCAAAATGTCATTTTTCAACAAAACCCACAGGCTTTAAGACTTTAATTCATCCCCAAACTACATGCAGATGAACAGGCTCCAGCCAGCTCTCACTTGCCATGAAGCCAACATGCTAATAGAGCTCCATCTTTGCTTTCAAAAACCTCATGACAGGCTAATTAATTTAATAGTCCAGACTTCTCTTTGGTTGGCTTCAATTCCCTTCCCAGAAAGCTTCCCCTAGCTCCTTACGATATCTGGAAACTGGTTGTTCACTATCTCAAACCATTACTGTTCTTGACAGTCTGTCTCAGGATTTTTCCATGTACCGGCCTTTTCCATCACCAAAGCAAGCCAGATGCTATTAAGAAGGAAGGAAGGAAAAATAAGGAGTGACAGATCCCTTCGGTAATTCCCCCATACCTCCAAAACCTGGTAAACAGGACATTATTGTGCTGGCAATAATAACCCCAGAACAGCTACAGGGACACAATTCAACAGACAACGTGTCTAACCACAGTACCATGAAGCAAGGACTAACTTTAGGAACCTTGTTTAAGAACAGCCAATCAAGTTTAAAAGCATTAGCTTGGGTGAAACAGTCTGCATGTGTTTCTCTTCCCTAGCTTCCCTTTTCTAGTAACAGCAAAATCTTTTGTTTGTCTTTACTGCTTTTCTCCGTGACCTTTTTTTATTTTTAAAGATTGGAAGCATTGGAAGGTAGAGATGGCCCCTTTTTACACTTGACATAATGCTGCTAGCAGACTATGGCATTTCGCGCTGAGTAAAAGAACTCATTAGAAACTCGGTGAAGTGCTCAGAAGTTGCACTGTTTCCCTCTAAATGTGCTACTACCGATAGTGAATCCTTCACTGAGAACAACCAGAAAGTTCATGCAGGAAGGTTTTAGACAGCAGGAATCAAGTTCATCCCCTCTGTAACAAAACTGCCTGTAGTAATTTCAAACTACAGACAGCTGCTACTTCTAAATGGATACAGGACTCTGACAAATCTGACTCATTATGTCCCCACAGAACAGGCCGGAGGTGATGAGAGCCACCATCACCAGATGATGCCACCCACAATGGTACTTAGTTATAAGCCAGCATACTTGCAGGTAGTTCAACAAAATAATTTAAATGCCTTTCAGAGGCATTTATCAAGAGGGGGCTTTTCTTGCCATAGTTGCACAAGGGCATGAAACCAAGAGGGTTTATTACAACACTGATCTGCTGCTTGATTTTTGCACAGATTCTGGTATTTGTAGATCTTCTCTTAGAATAGGGCAGTATTTCATCTTGTTTGAATGTGAATGGAATAAATCTAAACATGCTTTGAAGTACTTGGCACAGTAAGCTATTTGTTCATTAGGAAGAAAAACACACATTTTTACCAAATTCAGGACACTATGGAAGAAAGCAGGAGTTCTCTATTTGCACTGAAATCAGCCATCTTAACACATTCTGTTCTCTTCTGCCTACAACTATTATCAAGTTTGAAGAAAAACACATCAGAGCCTCAACTTAGCCTTAAAATACTGTATCTTTTTCTATATTACTATCTAAAAGATCTAAGGTGAAATTTTTCATGTTTCGGCTCAATCCAAGACCAATTTCTAAATTCTTCTCTTCTTCATCCATTTTGGCTTTTTTGTTGAAATTAAATTCAGAGTAAAGAAGGGTGGCACCACAGCCATTTCAGAGCAGTATGATCTGGCACACTTTTTTAAGAACCTGAGGTGCTTCCACCATGGCCTCACAACCTACAGGGACAAGCACCTATGACATTTTGGACAAAATCTGATTCATGAAGCAATTTCTATGCTATTGAAAAAGCCTCAGCCAAACATCTATCCTATGTTACCACTCCAGTTTTTGACCCCTTAACTTTGTTCCCAAATCACATTTGTGGGTCTTTCAGAAAATAGCAGGTATTCTTAAAATGACTTATCTCCGAGGGGAGAAAAAACCCCAGATCAAATAAATGAAACAAGCACCATCTTGGAGGCATCCCATTTGTGAGTTAAAGAGAAGACTGAGCTCTCAGTGATGAGAGCTTTCTGTCCGTATGATGGTTGTCAGACTACTCTTCTGGAAGAGAGTGCAAGAACTCCCCAGTTCATAATCTCTGAAAGCAAATCCTGCTTTTCATCTACACAGGCTGTGGCAACTGCTGGCCAAGGGCACGGTCAGGCTGGGCAAGCAGGCCATGGAGCAGGTCCCCTGCCTGCAGCAAAGCCCATCTCCCTGGCTGAGTTCTCAGTTTCAGCACAGTGGACAATTTTAGAAACAGCTGCCAGTAAATCCAGGAGCACTTGAACTTTCTGAACCAACCCACCAATGCATACCGGAATAAGAAAGAGCGAGCTGCCCCAGGTTATGAAGTACCAAAGTAGTCCTGGATGGGGCAGACCTGCCCTCTGACAAGCATGAAGAAAGATATTTTCTTCACAGCTGCCCAGAGGTCCTCAGCATATAACTCACTTGATCAAGCCATACGTTAAAGAAGTAGTAGGGAGAACAGCACCTGGATATAAAGAAGTCTCATATTTTGTTGAAACTTACCAGAAACTCTACTTTCAGCCCCCAGGGAAGAAATGTCAGCATAGTCATTCACAAAAGAAATGAATCTATAGAATAAAAATTGGCTTTCCCACCCAGTCTACCAACATCAGAGAAGAGCTTTGCACAGAGCATGTGTGCTTTCTTACATGGAAGTGTCATGGCTATGCTCCAAGCTCCCGGTTCCATAGGAGCTATATAGAGAGGTTCCCACGGCCAGCAATACCTTGGGGACTTGAAAGGAAGCTACAGGAATTCTTCACTATTTAAAAATGCACTCACTCCTCTTCGAGGGAAGGCACAAAGGACAGAGGTTCCCATGCAAAGTAACACGGGTGAGGTTGGGCTGGAAGCCCTTCTGAAGCCACATCTTACATAGCTCTCTGAAACTGTGTTCAATCCCTGCGGAATCTTGTCCCTCTAAATCTTCATGCAAGGCATGGAGCTTTGAGTTCACTCTCATTTAATTGGGCTTAATGTCTAAACGTTTTGAGCATTGCTTGGGGAATAGCAAAGGAAACCTGGCAGCAAGAAGTTGAGAAAAAGGAAAGAAAAAAATTAAGTCTTTCACCCTTTGAGAAATCAGGGAACCAAACAAGCATCCTACTGATCCAGCAAAGTTTAAGGGACTTCTATCAACAGGGATCAAAACCTGGCTCCTAAAACTCATGCATAATCCCCAAAATAAAGCTCTGGCTGCTTCCCACCAAACGCATCAATTTCTGCCTGGATCACATAGAACTGACATGCTTATAATGGAAGCCATAATTAATAGTGTTTCAACAAAACAATACATGGGAATATAGCCATGTCTCTCTACTTGATTGAAAGGGAAGTCCTACAGCTAAGAATCTGAGCCTTCCTCTTGGGGAGAAAAGAACAATGAATCTTGCTGCAAAGTGACATATTCCGGGCTATTACAAGAGCTTCAGACCTCAAAGCCACACTCTGAGCATGACTGGAACATAAATAGATTAGCAACTGCTAAGGATTGCTCTCCTCC